GGGCACGCGCTGCCGAACGTACTACACAATGCACCACCCGTGCACGGCCGAGGGCTACGTCTCGCTGCAGGCGCTCGCGGCCTGTTGCCATTTGCCGCCCGCCGCGACCGACGCCGCGCGCATCGTGGGTCTAAGACGGTTCTTTCACGAGCTGCACACGCACCAGCGCGCCTTCTTCCACGACCACGTGCATCGCATTCTGGCCCACGCGAGGAGATCGCCGTCGTGACGTCTAAAATTGTAATTCGCAGAAAAGTCGTCGCATATATCGAGTGGATCGAACCCGCTCCCAGCATTTCCACGACCGTAATCGCGCCATCGTCTCGCCACGTCATCGTCCGACAACCGGCCAACAAACATGTTCACGCGTGCATGCAAAACACGATGCTGCAGCGAGGATCGAAGCGTGGACCAGTTGCGTTGGAAAAAAGTCCTCTTCGGCGATAGCGACGGGTACTGTAAACAATCCCGTTGGCACAATGCAACAGTACGACAAGCCCTCCTCGTCGAAACGACTGCTGGCACCGCGCGCAGGCAAAGCGACGACGTCACAGCAGCGCGTCATCTGCGTGCACGCCGTCGTCTGGACTAGGTGGTGACGCTAAAAATTGATGAATCAAGGGCACTCCCTCCCAACATGCCTACTCCTGCCAAGAACTCCTTGATGGTGTCCGATCCCATTGCCAATGGGAAAGAGAAGAAAGGGACAACGCAACGGGGCTCGAACCCAGCACCTCCAGCGTGTGAAGCAGAGCCCGACGGGGCAAAAGGTAGTGGATGTGTGACGTCGGCATCCTTGATTGTCGACGACCGGCATGACAGTCTCGACCGTTCTCGGCACCGCATTTGCGTTGGACTATCGCACTCAGGACGCGAAAGGTTTCGCGTGGCACCGGAATATGATTGTCGTACTTTCCACAACACGACGACGGCAAATATTGTCCACGATACGAGGCGATTACTAGATTCGCTCGTTTTGTGCCCCGTGGGATCCTGTCCGTATGTCGTCTACGCGAGGCTCCGTCGTACGACCTGGTCCTGCAACGCGAGGGGTCGTGACGACCGGTGCTTCGATGCTCGTCCGACGACTCTGTCTTTACCCGTGGTGGGACCCGCCTCGTCTCAGTCTCGCGGCGTCATCGGGCACGTCAACACGTGCGTGTGTACCGGTAGTACATTGGATGATGGTTCACAAGTGAATACCCACAGTCGCACCCACATCATGTCCGTCGAGCGCAAGCGGGCCATTCGCCAGCTGCAGCGCGAGGTCTATGACCTCGAGTGCACGCTGCGAGCAGGCCGACGCAGCCAAACGACACAGCTACCGTGGGAAGACGTGGCGGTCGCACTCAAAAACGATTTTTTGGCGCTGGTTGCCGACCACCGGGCGCTCAAGCGGCGCGTCGACGACCAGCGCCAGCTCCTCGCGCAGATGCACACATGGGTCCACCGCAACCTCCGCGCGGCGTCCGACGACGTACTCTATCGATCTGAACGAGCTCGGATGTGTCATCTCATGGGACGTACTCTGCATAGCCGCATGCCGCGACGTGTCTTCTTCGCGGCTCCACGGCATCGCGCGAGATGGCGCTCGCGTGGCTCATTCGCCAGCAGTACGAGCACACGATGGCCGTCATGGGGAAGCACGTCTACCCCCTCGACCCGACGACCGAGCTCGTCGACATTGGCTATTCGTTCGGCGACACCGACGACCCGAATGCATTTGCCGTGCACGTCACGACACAGTCGCTGCTACCGTATGCGCTGCCGATTGCGGCCGCCGGTGTCTGGGAGGCCGAGCGGTCGTTTCCCGCGGTCTTTTGTGCCGCCGACACCAACCGCAAGCATGTCACGCGCGACCTCTGCGTCCGCGGGCAAGACGTCGCCTACACCCACGAGGCGATGGCGCTGTCGCGGGAGTCCGTTGTCGCCGACACGGTGCTCTTGGGGCGCCTGAATGTGAGCGCGACCCGGACCATCCTCGTGCTGCGAACGATCGGCCACGACGACGCGCACCCGATCGCACCGCGGTCGTGGCGCTGTCCCGTGTTCCAATGGTACTAGTACAATTCAGTACAATGCGGCGATGCAAAGGAAGCAACGCGGTGCTTGTAGGACCGTCCTGGACGCGATCGATGCGACGACCACGCGGTGCCGGACGTACTACTTTGCCGACTCGCCATGGCGCGGCGCGACGCGGATGCCCCTCCAGCAGCTTGGCGCGCGCTTCAATATCGATTTGCGCCAACCTGACGGGCCCCACCGCCTCCGCGACACGAATCGCAGCTACCAGCTCAGCCAGCGCGCGTTCTTTCGAGCGCACTTGGATGAGATTCTGCGCCGGCTCGCCCACGCTCCCGAATAGTCGTCGAATGATGGCTGTTGATCCTTGTCATAAATGTGTGTTTACGCTAACGCATCTCGAGCTCCGACCGGATGTCGTACGACCTGGTGATCCGTACCAGGATTATGGTACAACCACTCGCCAACTGAGAGAGTCTGCGCAGCGCGGACCAAGATACCGATGCATCTCTCTCATTGGAATGGACGACGACGACGACGGCGGCGGATGGATCGAGGTCGTCACGCAAGTGGACGTGGCTGGCCAGCACGACGACGACGACGGTCGATGCTGGTCACTTGTACTCACCGACCAGTTGTGGCACCAGACGGCTTGGTCCACGACGTACGAAGCGATGAGTTATCCACCCATGGCGACCGTTTCGTTGCCGTCTACACAGAGGACGACATCCTCTGACACGCTCAAAGAAGGGCGTGTAAATTCCTGGCGCATCAGCCCGCACCCCCGTGGCAGCAAGAGCATCGGATGTCAACCATTTTTTCGGTCGACTGACGTGCTATTATACGGTGCGGCCAAGGTGCATGCACGGTGATGGCTGGCTGCGCGCGCCATCCTGCCTCTGGCGAGCACGCCGACGGCGAGAGCGTCGGTCGCGTGAACCGCCACGGCTGTAGCGACATCGTGGAGACGAGCAACCACGTGACGTCGTAGTACACTGTACTCGAACGACTACCACACCACGGAGCAATCGACGAGGGCTCTATTAGGATGATCCTCTGCGTATCTCTGTCATCACAAAGCACCACAAAAATGAAGGCACGAAGGAATCGTTTGCGAGTCTACCTCATTTGTTTGCATTTCGATTTTGTGTTTGCGTGCTTGTACACTCGACATGGATGGTACACGGCTCATCCGCTTTCATCCCATCCATCCAAGCGAATCCTTCCCTTGCATCCATTCCAGGGCATGGCTGCCCCGGCTACGTCGCCACAGCAGCACTTGCAATACCATGCGAAGTCGTCGACGACCCCATCGTTTTGCACCGCAAGCTCTGAAATCAGAGACCGCTGACGAGCGCTTACTTTCGCGGCGACCACATGGCACCCTCGGTCGACGTCATCACGGGCCTTGGGCCTGTCGGACAGGCATCGTATTTGTCCTCCATGTACAAGGAGGCCTCTTCCATCATCAATACCGGTAGTGCAGTCAAGGGCCCTGGCTACTACGACGCGGCGTACCGTAGGATGCGACGCGGGAAGATGAGATGGCCTGGATGTCGCCCAAAATCGGCCAGCTCGAGAGGCGGTGCGGTCGGCGTGTCATGAGGCCAAGTGGCGCCGCACGTTCTCGAGAACGCAGACACGCCGCCGGCGATGACGACGACGACGGTGCGCCGGGGCACCGACTGCTGACTGGTACGTTGTTGTGACCGCGGCCCGCAGAGGCAGGAATCCTACGTTGGCCAATAAAATCTGGCTGGCGTCGCAGCTGGTTTTCGTAAGTTGCCACCGCTTACTTTTGTTATTTTGGCTTTGGCATGGTGCTCCACGTCGCGGCGGCGACGCCCGTCACGACCAAGAAGCGCAAGCTCCACGAGCAGCACTCGCCGCTCGACCGCATCAAGCCGTCGCAGGACCCACGCCTCGCGCACATCAAGTCCAAGCGCACCAAGCAGCTGCAGTCGCTCCTCCACCACGTGTACGACTTGGAGACCGAGGTCGCGCGCCTCAAGCGCGGCCACCTCGCGATGCTGCCGTGGGAAGACGTCGTCATCGCGCTCAAGGACGATACGCTCGAGCAGGTCCGCGAGAACCGGTCGCTCAAGCGCCAAGTCGACGCATATGCGCACCTCTCGACCGTCCTCCAGAGC